ATAATTTATTAAACTATTAATAATATTATAATTAGTAACAATAGGCAAGTAAAAATTTTAAGCTATAGTGTGGATTATGTCAACCAATAAACTCATTATTTAAAGGATTTTTTTTATTACTAATTTCTAAATTATTATGCATGTATTTCTATCACCGTAATCTAATCTTCTTAATTATTTATTTTACTACATATCAATTTTATATTAAATTTTTATTTTAATTTTTAATTTTTTACATTCACAGATCTGGGCATTACCCAGAGTATCAACTAGTTATCAGGAGGAAAAGGAAATCCTGTTCTCAAAAAAAGGAAATCTCGTATTCAAGAGAAGGTTATCATATTCATTTTGAGCTTATCACTGTTGACTTGACCTACCTTTTGAAGTTTACTAAATGAAGTTGCAAAAAAAAGAGTAAGAAATATATAATAATTTTCCTTTCAAATTTTAAGTGGATGATATTTTCTCGCAAATAAGGAGGTTGATTTAATTAGCCAAGTCACGAGTACAAGGTTGATCAAAGTCACTGTAACATATATAGAACTGTAATTAATTTATTGCAACTATAGCATAAGGGCACATCACTACACAGCAGATATGCTTGAAGTGACTAAACCATTTTTCAAGCTATTATTTTTCCAGATAAGTGTAGCTTAATTAGGACTAGTTCCAATACGCCTTCAAGGGCAGAATATAACCTTGTAGTCGGTTCCTGTGGGACAAGTGAACAAACTGGTCTTATCATCCTTCGGATAGCTGTAAGCATCTGGACATCTGTCCTTAAAAAATCTCGAGAAGTTTGTAGGCTCACAGTTACCGGAGTAGCAGCAGTGCTCATCTGTCTTGAACACTGGACAGGGGCCATTGCACCCTCCTGGAACCTTCAACACCTTTGGACACTGTCCTACAATATCTGCAGTACACTTGATCATAACATCCGTGCATAGAGGGGAGTCGGAGCTAAACTCCATGGGAACATTAAACCCGTTGATGTTGGAGATGTCGATTAAGTCCAGATCGGCATGCTGGCCAAGGCCAACACCGAACTCGGCCAAAGTGTTGGGTGGCGAACCATAGGCTTTGCATTCGAGGAGTCCCTGGCAATCGCCTGTCTGGCAACTACCTCTTCCAGTGGCATCAAATTGGCAGTTGGTTCGTGCCCAAATGCGGGCTTTTGACGTGCCACGGGGTACGTTGATAGGCCAGGTTTCGCCTGGGTTGAGACGTTTGCCACCGCCTACAGGGACTGCGGCAGCCCAAACAACGTAAGGACAGTTGTTTCGAATATTAAATGTGGCTGCGGAGGCCACGGTGAGTAAGTAGAGAGTATACAAGAGGAAGGAAAATGCAGAGATGGAATTCATTGCGTAGGATAGGACTGTATAGCTTTCGCTTTTCTGTTTTATGGTTTGGTTTAAGAAGAAACCCATTGAGGTTTATATAGAGCTGATGGGGGCTTGGGATAGCGTTATTGAATTTAATTTTGTTGGAAATTTTAAAAGATGACGGAGCGAATGTCGTTCTTGTCAATGTTTGCCGCGCCACGCCATACTAATGTTAATTATGATAACGTATTCGGCGGCACGAGACATTAGTGTTACCAGAATATTTACGCAACAGCAATTGTCGGAATATATCTATCCATTACGATATGGTTTCTGCATTTGCTGCCAATCAAATACTTCTGATATTCAACCCAAAAAAAAAAAAAAAGAAAAAGAAAAGAAAAAGTGATGCTGTTGACAGGCATTTCCAAACCTTCTGCCAATTGCGATGTGTTTTGGTTTTTATAGAAAGAAAAGATACCCCTTTGAATAATTTTAGTAGTTTACTTTCATTTTTTAATTTTTTAAATATAAATTTTATATAAAAATTTAATAATTTATATGAATAATAATTAAAAAAAATTTATATG